TGTGTGTGTGTGTGTGTGTGGGAGAGAGAGAGATGCGTCTGTGGCTAGCATGCGGTCAGAGCACAGTTTCTGTAAATACAGAGGAACCTGAAAGACCACAGGACAAATCAATGTGCGTGTGGTGTGAGAGCACCTTCAGTAGAGATGGATGCAATGACGCCCTGTGTTTCGGAGGTTTGGGATTTGACGGTTCTGCCCTGAAGCCGCTGCAGACTGGACTGAAGATCCCTGTGCGTCTGCTGCCCTACAGCCAGCTTCTCAAACTGCAGCCACACGATGAACAACACGCCAGAACTCAACCTGGAAACAGATTGATTGACAGTCTGTGAGCAGATTGGTTTGGAAGAATCCAATTATTTTGCTTTAGGAAGTGAGCTTTGTACTTACTTTTTTAGTCTTTTGAAGTCCAGGCTCTTTGGAGTGAGATGTCCAAATACTTCTCGTATCTATAAACCAATTTTGAGGCCAAAAGTTGCTCAATTGACAACAATATTCTGATGATCTATAAAGGGAATCATAATGTTGAGCCTCACCATGGTCTCTAGAGCAGATCTGAGTGAAGAGGATTCTTCACGATGTTCAGGCTCCAGATTGATCTCGACACTCACCTCGAACAAGAGCTCTGATTGGACGGATGATATGACATCAGAATGTATGCAGTATGTCATTTATCATTTGTAAAAATGAAACGTAAATGGTAGCTGCATTATTAGGTTGATGTGTTAAACCATTTCAAAGCACATCTCACCCGCAGGAAAATGCCTGTTGTGGGTGACATTTCGTAAGGTTTGCCGGTAGAGAGCTTTCTCTGTAGAATGAAAAAGGTTAATGCAAGAAAACCTTAGATATAACTAGATAAAAAAGTTTGTCAAGACAAACTTTAGGTTGACTTGAGAAAGCCTAGCCTGAAAGTTTAAAGCAGTTGTAAAAGCCTGAAGTTTGAAAATTTAGATATATTAGATCGATGTTGATGGCATGTTTCTACCATGATTAGCATGTTTTTAACATGACTGGCCTGTTACTAGCATATTGCTGGAATGATTAGCATGTTGCTAGCATGATTAGCAAGTGACTAGCATGTTTCTACCATGATTAGCAAGTTACTAACATGTCGCTAGCATGTTTCTAGCATGATTAGTATGCTACTAGCATGATTAGCATACTACTAGCATGTTGCAATCATGATTAGCAAGTGACTAGCATGTTTCTAGCATGATTAGCATGTTACTACCATGTTGCTAGCATGATTAACATGCTACTAGCATGTTTCTAACATGATTAGCATGTCGCTAGGATAGATAGAAAGATCAGAAATTTAGTCTAAGAAGAATAATAATAAGCAGCTTAATAGTAAAGTATGTACTTTTCAATTTTAATTTCATCATTTTATACCATTTCAGTACATTAGTTTCATTATTGTTATGCTTGAACATTAGCAGGATCTTAAAATGGCCCTAAAATAGGATTTATTGTTATTATGCTGCAATGGGTAATAGTAACAGTCTTAAATATTTTATTAATGCTTTAAAAAGTTAATACTACTACTATTACTACTAATATTTGTGTTTTTTGGGGGTTTTTTTTATATGAACCGGGCATCTTAATTAGGTTGGCTTGAGAAAGATGATCTGCTATTTAAGTAAATTGTAATTGCTATGTCATGACAGTATGCTTTTCTGAATTTAATTTATTCTGATTTTAATTAAAAAAAAATTTTTTTTTAAAAGCAGGACATTATTGCTATAAATTTTAAAATAATTAATAGTTAATATTACTCCTTGCATAATAATAATAATATTAATACAAAATAAAATAAGTTGATATTGTTAACATTAATCCTTGCATACTACTACTAATAATAATCTTTTTAAACATTAAATTATTAATATTGTCAATTTTACCCCATGATGATAATAATCATATTAACAACAACAGCATCTACTAAAAAAAAAAAATCCTATTTTAGGCCCATTTTTTATTTCTCCAAGTCATTTTGGGTGGTAAAGTGTACTTAATTTTCATGAAAATGTTACAATGCAAAAAAAAAAGTCCTATAAAGAGGCTTTCTTTATGCAAAATGTAATGCTTTCTAATTAAAAAAAAAAAAAAAGTAACTGCACCTTTTGATTTGCGTTGTAGTTTGGGTTGTATTACAGGTAGTGTGACGCTGCTCTTGGTTGCTGTCATCTCAATGGAAACGCCTTCGTCGCCCCGCTGTCCCACCTTTACCCACCTCACTTCTCCAGCATCAGGCGTTATTCTGGCTCTGACCGGCTCGATTTGACCAGAGGAGTGCGCCTGCGCGTCCACATTCCTGCGCATGGCAGACGGCGAGCGGGCGGCGGGTTTGACCAGCGGCATGCGCGTCTGTGCACTGAGGGTCATGTCTGAGACGCCTGCGTAAGCCGCTTGATATCTGGGCCGTATTTGAGCCGCTCCACTTTTGGGTTGTTTGTGCTGGGTCTCAGCGGCCCACCGACCAGCTGCTTCTTGTGACGCTGCAAAGAAATGATCATCGTAGTATGCATCACCATCAACCACATCGTTACTGTTGTAACCAGGCGCTAGAATGAGAGGAGATGAATCCCTGGAGCTCTTTTCATTGGACACTGAAGATGCAAACTTCACAGAGCTGGTCAGTCCAGCAGAAGGGGTTTGTGTGCTCACTCCTGATGTATCTGCTGTGACGTCTCTCACAGCTGGTGGAGAATCTGTAATTGCATCCGTTTCATCTTCATCGTCTCCTAATTCTGCTTCTACCACTTCTACAGGAATGTCTGTCAAATACAAAGAGTCATGTGACACCAGCAGGCCCAGCTCCAGAATCAAATCACTGAGGGTGTTTCTTAAACTAGTGAGGGTGCTCTAACCTTTATATACATATATATATATATACACATATACATATACATACATATACTGTATATACATGCATACACATACATATATACACATACACATATATAGTGCCGTCCATTTATAATCACTAAAAAGCTGTCACTCATCTTCGTTCACAGCAATCTCACAAAGATAGCCTACGTTATAAACAATGAAGTTCTCTACGCTGCACACCAGTTTAGAAGAACAAATAAAAACATGGAAAACATTTACTCACCTTCATACATGGAATCAGGAGAATCCAGGGATCTGAAAGCTTTAAAGCGTCCATAGAAGCCCCTGTAGGGGACGTGCCGGTTCCCGTCGATGAGCAGCACCACCTGAACCGTGTTGGACACGGAGGTGTACCTGGCCTTTCTCCAGCACCTCTCCAGGATCTTCTGCCCTCCTGCAGGCGCCGGAGACTCATCCAGGTGGATCTGATCGCTCTTCTGCTGACAGGCATCCGAGGGAGTAAAGTCCTCCAGGTAGAGCTCCAGACGCTTCCCAGGAGGCACCTGGATGGTCCAGTTGCACCACACGGGGGGGTGTGAGCACAGGTAATCAGGGGAGAAGAACTCTCCGCCGTCATCGCGGAGGACTTGATGGCAGCTGCGCAGGGCATAGAACGCGTATCGCTCGCGGCCTACACCTGACCAGAGACAACATTTTAGCACATATATCCCTCAAAATATAGAACTATTTTAACTGAAGAGGAAAAGTTACAGGACAATGAAATGACCCAAAATAAGATTAAAATTTGACATTATATTTTGTTAAAAGTATAATAATAATAATAATAATAATAGACAGTTTATCCCCCAAAACATGTACATGTTTTCATTGGAGGATGAATAGAGGATAAATAAATTGGAGGGTAAATAAGATAAGATAAAATAATATTAAATATATTATTTTCAATAAGAAGACATGAAACAGCCAGCATATTAATAATAATAGACAACTTATTCCCCAAAATATCTACATATTTTTTTATTGGTGGAAAAATTACGGGTGATTTTAATTATAAAAATAAGAGAAAATAAAATAATATTAAATATATTATTTTTAATAAGACATGAGATAGCCAGGATATTTAGTATATTTATCTCCAAAAAATATCAAAATATTTTCATTGGAGAGGAATTATTATAAAATTATTTTTTTGTATAAAAAACAGGGGATTTAAATGAATAAAAAAAGAACATAAATAATATTAATAAATATATTCTTACAAAATACAATATAAAGATTTTAATAATATGAATAAGATGAAATAAGATGGCATGTATTTTAGCATATTTATCCCCCAAAACATCAAAAAAAAAAAAAAAAAAAAATGTTTAAAGATTTGTTTTTACAAAAAAATTCTATAAATTTGCAAATAAACAATAATACTCCTAACGAGATATCTAAACACAAAATATGATTAATTTTGTAAAATAAAAAAAAAGATTTCTAAGCATTCATCTATTCCTCCTTGCACGATATACCGGTATAAAGCGTGTTGAATCTTTTCAATTCGTTTTTTCTCCATACTGCAAAGCTGCTGATATTTATTGTGAAAGTGCTATACATTATTAATTGAATATATTTCTCTTATATTTTGTTATTAACAAAAAATACACAAAGATTTTTAAGATTTAATATATATTTTTTAATTATTTAAAAAGTATTTAAGTTATTTAAAATACTTTTAAAATTATAAGTTAATCATATTTTATGATTTCTTTTAGATTCAACTATAATAACGAATTTAGCAATACCTTACTATCTTTCGTCCGCATTATAAATGGGTCTTTACACATATTGACGCTTGGAAATGTTGCTTTAAAAAGTTTGAAAACCCCTGAGGACACAAGATAAACATGTTAAAGCTAAAGCAAGAGGGACAGGTACGTCACAAAGTTCACATTAATGTAAATGTGACTGACCGCTGTTTACCTGCGGATGCTTGTCCGCCGTATCTGTTGATCTGCCAAAAACAGACAGATTGAGTGAAACATGCAGCGACCAGACCGCCATCAGATGACCAGCCATGAGTTACTCACCTCAGCGCTGCTTATCAACCCTGTCAAATAGATTAATATCACAAGACTGCATGTACTCAATAAATGCCGCCGTGGCATTTTGGATTTATGCTCGTGAACTTTCTACGTTGTTGTCAGATGCTTGTTTGAAAAACTAAACGGAAGAGGCCTGCATCACCTGTATTATATCTGTGGTTAATGAGGTAAGTTTACCTGTCGCGCATGAACGAATGAGGTTTATATGACATGTGACTCGCTCTTGATCCGACAGAGGGCCCCGCGCAAACATTAATGTGACCCTGGACCACAAAACCAGTCAAATAGCCCATGGGTCATTTTTTACTTTATTTATTTATTGAAAGCTTTACATCGAACATGGTTCGTTAGGATAGGACAATATTTGTCTGAGATACAACTGTTTGAAAATCTGGAATCTGAGGGTGCAAAAAAAATCAAAATATTGATAAAATCAACCTTTAAAGTTGTCCAAATTAAGTTCTTAGCAATGCATATTACTAATCAAAAATTAGGCTTTGATATATTTACAGTAGGAAATTTACAAAATATCTTCATGGATCACGACCTTTACTTAATATCCTACTGATTTTTGGCATAAAAGAAAAATCGATAATTTTGAACCATACAATGTATTGTTGGCTATTGCTACAAATATAGCCGTGCTACTTATGACTGGTTTTGGTCGGGACATAATGAAATACTAGCGTACATAGTACTACATACTGAGTAGTATATACTTAACCTAATTATGCATGCTTTTAAAGATAGAATGAGAAATGCTGATCATGATGCAGTAATAAAGAATCATATAATGAGATAATAATATAGCATTATATGCTATATTATATAATATATAAGTAAAATATACAAGTAAAATCTCAAACAAATTACCTCCATTTGGCCATGTGATACATAAACTGCAAAATTACTTCCAAACGTAGACATAACTTTATTACTAGCTATATATACAAAACACTGCTTAACTGGAATGATAAAAACAAGTTTCACTTGTCAAGGCTATTTCCTGTGTTTTCAGGACAATTTAATTCGATCCATAATCACAAATATGCACTCATATTGAACAAATGACTGAACATCACACAAAATATGACATGGAAATCTTTTGTGCTCATCTTCCATGATGAGTTAATGAAGATTTATACAGTAATTGATTTGGATTTTGACTTTGCACTTTGGAGGCTCGTTCAGTTCACTGTGAGTGTTGTAAGTGTCCTACAGTATGTTGCCCTACAACAATGGTTCAAAGGTCACAGCTTACTTGCACAAACAGTATACAAAGTAATAAAACTTATATTATTATCCTTGTGCTGATAGTGTAGTTGGAGAACGATCAAACAGCAGCTTCCTGAGAATATAGAGGTTTAATGCAAGAGAAGTCAAAGAGCTCAGCTATAGTCTTCCACACACGAATGCAAACATAAATTAAAACAACAACATAAAAATACACAAACACATCAGACTCGCTCTTTCTGTGATGAAAATGCACCCTGATTTCTTATGTCAACATGCATCATAGTACACCATATATAACTCATTTTGAGCAAATAATCGTGATTCGTCGCATCAAAGTGAAAGAAGGTGCGCAAATATGTCCCAGCTAACAGGGAATGTTCTCAGAATGTTCTAGCAAGGTTCTCTCAAATGTTCTTCCAGTAACATTCATAGAACGTTTGTTCAAAGTTCTCCGGTCTTTAGTAATGTTCTCAAAACGTTAGCACAGAAACATGATCTCATTCATGGAACTTTTTTACTGAAATGTTTAAACTGGAAGTTCCATCTAATGTTTTTTAAATGTTAAAACTTGTTTTAGAATGTTCAAAGAACATTCAAAAGTAACATTCCTATGATATTTGATTCAATGGAATGTTCCCTTAACGATTGCGTAAGCAAGAAAAAAATGTTTATCCACACTATTTTTCCCGTAAGAGCGGGCACGGCCATTTGTACATTTTATGGGTCTGGCTTCTGGTGTCATTCCCTTCCAGCTATTTTTAGCTGTACAAAACAGCTTGTTGTGCTGCTTGATATTGCAAACTGGTGTTTCTTACCATATTATTTTAATGTATTATCTTAATTTTAAAAACTATTATATTATACTAATATTAATCTTATATTAAAACTATTGAATTTTAAAATCTTTTAAAAACTGTTTGTGCTACTGTTTTGTAGAGCAAACAGTTTTACCATTTACTGCACTTTGTTATTTTTCTCGTTATTTCCATACCGCGGCTAATGAACCGGAAGTCTCGCACATTCACAGAAAACGGCTTACTTCCAAGTTGAAAAATAAGGTGGATAAAACCTTTTAAAAACTGGATGTTTTGAGAACATTCAGAAATAATGTTTTTATAACTTAATGGGAACGTTAGCAAAATGTTCTTGGAACACATTTTTGTTAACTGTACGTCAGTAATAGAACAGGGCATTGGGTTCTATTTGCTTCTGTTGCGTCGCTTTGCGCCCTTCGCTTGCGATGTATTTGCGATGTAACATTTCGCTTTTGGGTCATTAATCCAAGACCAGATCTTTATCATGTCCTGTGGGCTCCTGGGATGGACCAGAATCAGCTTTTTGTAAGCACAAGGATTCTCTCTGTGCTTCTCCTCAATGTCAAAGGTCTTAAAGCCCATGTGTTTCTCCGGTACTAGTCCCAGTCTCTTCAGACACATCCCAGTGTAGACGTCGTCTATCGGGTACAACGTGACCAGACGCGAGATCATTCTTAACCGCAGCCCCAGATTCCCAGAATACAGGTAGCCTCCGCCTCCGGCGTACGGTGGGTAAACTCCTCGAAACACGCTCTCGGGGATGTAATACTTGAGGTGTTTGGTTCGGTGTGGTCCAGCATTGGTGATCACATCGCCAACAAAAAGGTCCTGTGTATTGGACACAGAAAAGTTGCCCAGGTAAGCCAGCATATGCCGCGTATTGACGAAAACGTCGTCGTCGCCTTTGAACACATACTTGGCAGAAGCGCAATGAGTCCCAAACCACTCCAGAAAGAGGACTTCCTTTAAGGTGAGATTGAAGAACGAGTCTCGATAATCCCACTGCAGGACGTCGCCGTACGACGCCGCTTCGTGCTTGACCATGTCCGACAAGTTCGGGAAGTGGTCCGTCGCTGCCGTGCTGCCAAGTAGGAACACTGTCGCAATGCGCCGGCCGTCGAGGATCCCAGCGCGGCCCCATGATTCCCGGATGGCCTGCCGTCGGTCGAAATGTGCCGCAATGGACTTCACTGCAAGCAAGAGGTACGGCGTTTCAGAACACACGTTGGGTGCGTCCGTTATCAAGGGGTATGACCTACATCCCATGTACAACAAGAAGTCCTGGAATCGCTGCGGTAGGGACTTAAAGTCTTCAATCTCTGTCGTCACCCTGCTGTCCGGCTTGCAGGGACTCGTGCGATTCAGCCAACGTGGGATTCCCCGAAAGTCTCGAGGGGCCTCGCTGCCATTTGCAAGTGGCAGGTAGTAGATGTCATCGAGACGCTCCTGCACGCGATTCCAGAACGCCAGACTGACCTCCGGCTTCTTCCAGAACTTTTTGGGCGTCAGTTTCCCTCGATTGTACATGTCTCGTCCATGCCCGTAGCTTCGGGACACTTCCACCACGACGTAGATGAGGAAGTTGGCTAACATCAGCAATCCCAGCACTTTGGTGGTCTTCCAGTTGCTGTTCATCTTGAAGATGCCCTCACCACCTGAAGACACAGAAAGAGATTTTTTATATGTTGGGTTACAGTCTGGGAACAGAGGTGTGGAAAGGTGAAAGTCTACAGAATGTGGTGGAGAAAGTGGGATGGGCAAACCACAATGACCTGGAAAGTGGAGGAAGTTACGTTAGTAACTATGTTAGTTACGTTAGTCAAAGCCAGCTACTATGTACTTGAGCTGTGAGTGTTTGATCCATCGGCATACATAATGTGTTGAAACCTCAACCATACACCAAAATAAAGATAATTACATTTTTAAAAATAAAGGTTCTTTAGCATTGATGGTTCCATGAAAAACAGTTAAAATCCTTTTCCATTCCACAAAAGGTTATTTATAGTGGATATAGTGGTTCTTTAGACTATTAAAATGTTCTTCACACTAAGAAAAAAATGGTACTCTTAAAAACAGAAAGATCCTCACAGAAAGGTCCTTTTGAGAACTAAAAATGGTTCTTCTATGGCATCACTGCAAAAACACCCTTTCAGAACCTTCATTATATTGGCATCTATGGTTCCATTAAGAATCTTTAACATCTGTGGAACCATTTCACTAAATGTTCTTTATAGTGGAAAAAAAGTTATTTAGATTTTTAAAATGTTCTTTACAATAAGAAAAGGTGAAATGTTCTTTGGGGGATTCAAAAATAATTTTTATCATCATCTATCTTCTCTGGGGGGAAAAAAACCTGAAACAACTTTTTTCCATGCCACAAATTCTTCTTATTTTTCTTTTTTTTTTATAAATCACTTTTGAACTTTTGTAAAAAAAAATTTATACACATATATTTAGTTCAAGCATCAAAAATGACTCTAACATGAATGAAAATTGTCACATAATGTTGTGGGTCACATTTAAAAGGGTCAAAACTATTGGTTTTGAGCAGATGAGAGTGCTAAAGGCTTGTAGTGTTTATGTAGCACATACCTCAACTCAAAAAAGCAGCAGTGGGCTCATGCAAAGCCAGAAACTAACCACAACGGATACATAATTCCTCAACCATGAAGTGCAATGAACAACCTTTGTCAGTTTTAGTAGATTAATAAAAAGAGCTTAAATAATTCATCCAAAAATTAAACTTCTATCATTAATCATTTCAAATGCTGTGTTTTTTTCCCATGCAACACAAAATAATATTTTATTGTTAGTTTTTTTAAATTAAATTTACAGTTGTTTTTAACATATTAATACTCCAAAATTAATACAATAAATACCATAAAAGCACAACTGGTGCTTGCATGTCTTTTGAAGTGAAATTATAGCTTTGTGCATCATTTTGTTCTACACACAAAGCTGTAATATGATTTCATAAGGCTCAGAAGAAAAAAAAACTCTTCTAGGGTGAGTAAAAATAATTTAAATTTCTGGATGAACTATTTCTGTGTAAAAGAACCAGCTAAAAACATGAAGAGTAATAAAACATTAAAGTAACGGCTGGTCCGTTACTCACAGCGAGGACATCTGCAGGGTAAGTCTAGGGTGAGATCCATGAGTGAGTCCGGTGTGAAGCGTCCAGGGTTTCTCCTCCTGTAACTGTACCGGAACAGTAAGGGATGAACTTGCTGCATATCAGCCAATGTTTGATATATCGAACCCAAGATTTCTCTCTGTTTCAGACTCCACACCATCCTACGTTGTGCTTCCTTCTCTCATTCATTCATAAACATCATGTGTTCCTCATGACACCAATTACAGATGTGCAACGTCAGACTCTTCGTAGTCTCGTATAGTCAAACCTTTGACTAAACAGCTCTGCTATGGTCCACATTGCAGTTTATTTTGACCCAATAAGACAGGAAGAGACCATTTCAAATGTGTAATCTCAGTTTGTGTTGATCAAATAGGTAGTTTAGGGATGGGTTTATGTCAAATAGATGATATACCTCAGATTCTGTAATCAGCCCCATGATATTCAGTTTCAAAGATCTGACATCAGCTTGTCATATTGTGCTTTCAATATGCACCAGTTGAAGGTGGTCTGTGATGTGGCATGGAGACTAAACTCTTTCAGACTGCAGGAAACCTTCAAAAGCATTTCACTGTTGGACAACAAATCTATTTTATGACTGCACTTTAGATCTGACCACACTGACACAATGCTATCATTGCCCTACTTTAACACTTTTCGTAACTGAGTGACAGCTTATTAGCACGGTCCAATCCAGACAATGCATTTAGGATGCTATCACTGATTTTATTGTCAGAAAGTGTCTCATTCAATTACAACAATTAAACTCTTCAAAGGCTTCTTTAAACAATTATTCTGAGATATATAGGCTATTTGTGATATCAATAATCAGTGTTGGGGACTTTTATAAGTACACTCTAAAAAATGCTGGGTTAAAAAGGGACAAACCCAGCTATTGGGTTGTTTTGAACCCAACCGCTGGGTCAAAACAACCCAATAGCTGGGCCAAAACAACCCAATAGCTGGGTTTGTCCCTTTTTAACCCAGCGCTGGGTTATATTTAACCCAGCATTTTTTAGAGTGTAATAAGTTACAATATTGCGTTACTAAAAAAAAGTAACTGATTGTGTTACTTTTACGGAAAGCAATTTATGCTCATTTTTTCTTATCTGGGCAGGGCTTGCTTGTTCATTGTTTTAGTATAAAAAGTTATATTTTTGGCAAATGTAAAAGCCCTTTCACACCAAAAGTGAAATGAATAAGCCTCAGGCTGAAGGAAATGTAAATTCACATCTGTACAGTAGAGGGTGCAGCTCAAACAAACATTTCAGTTGTGCTGCTATTCTAGATTGCATGAAGAAAAGAATGCAGCAATTTAAAAAAAAATGAAACAAATGTTATGTTTATCTAAAGTCATTTTTGCTTATTACTATGGTTGAACTGGATCATCAAATGCCAGCAGTAAAGACACTGGTTAATAAAAAGGGTTTAAATACATAAAGGATATTTGTGCTATTTAATATATTTAAATACTGCAAGTTTGCATTTCTTTGTTTTTATTCATTTTGAGTAATACTGAATCAGTTTTTCTGCAGGTGAGATGAGTAAATGCATGTAAACATCTAGTCTAGAACTACAATACTCATCATGTTTAGACAGCGCAGGCCTGTCGCAATAATCAATATATCGACTTATGGTGCAATATATGTACATGACCTCCATAATTTTTGGTGACGCAATATATCGCCCATTATATTTACTTAAAAATGTATGTCACCATGTTTCATCTGCAGATATGGTCTTGTTTAGGGATCTGTGCTTTTGTGCATACGGACATCTGACTGCTAAGTAGTGATTGTGTTTTTCAGCAATAGTGTGCACCCTTCATTTACAGAGAAAAGAAGGTCAGGGAAAAATCTGTAGATGGAAAAATCTCCATACAAGCAGTTTTCTTTTTTTCTACTTGTTACTTTGGACTTTTTGTTAGAAAAAGTTTATTTACCGTACTATTTATTCAAGTTTTTTAAGGTATCTAATATTTTGATACTTAATTTCCATGATCTAAATATTCTTAAAAATTAAAAGTTTGTTGTCATTTGGAAGTGTGTAGGCCTTCTTGCATTATTTTGCGGTTACATTATGATTATATATTCAGTGGCATAAAATGGTCTTTAAAATGACAATAATATCGCTTATCGCAATTATTTCTGCGGCACTATATCGCACAACAAAAAGTTGCTATCGTGACAGGCCTAACAAACAATGCCTCTGCACCTTACTCATGATTTCACTCAACATGGGGACAGGAAAGCTGGCATTCATTAAATGGGAAACAAAGTCCGTTACTCATTTGAAAAAGTAACAGATTTTTTTTTTTTTAATTATTAAGTAATGTGTCACTTTACTAGTTACTTGAAAAAAGTAATCTGATTACATAACTCCCGATACTTGTAATGCGTTACCCTAACACTGTCTATAACACAATTCATAATAATGCCAGTATTTATGTTTTGGCAACGTACCGCCTGGTAATGCTCTTAACAAAAACTTCTCGAGTGGCCTACTGTTGCTATTACATCCTCAGGTGAATGCAATTTCTGTTTACCGCTAAGTAAAATAGATCCTAAAAAATGGAACAAACTGAATTCCGTATGGATTTAATGCGGAATGGAAAAGGAAAAACCTGTAAATTACAGGCAAAACACTGTAAATTGCTTTCAGCTGAATCATTTAGACCACTTACTCACTCACTCACTGAATCGTTTAGACCGAATTCTGAGTTAATAGCTTGCTTGGTAAAGCAACAACAAGAGAAGAAAACAAAAACATTGATGTATGATAAAAAGGGAAAATGTGGTTTTCCTTCAGATGTATTTAAACTGTGCTTCATCAAGTCCCTTGATGAAAACTGTGATTTTAAAGGTGTAGTCAACATCCTGAAGGCACAGGCTAATGCTTCTGTACAGACACTGTACTGTAAACAGCAAATAAGTTGCGTGTGTGTGTGTGTGTGTGTGTGTACTGTACATTAGATCTTGGACTTGCCTACACACATGTTGATACTCTTATCATTACGAGGAATTTTCAGGTAGCCTATTTTTGTAAGTGTATTTTTGTAAGCTTTAAGTGAGTAACAGACTGAAATTCAATAGCCTATTTACAGCAAATCCTCTCAGATCAAACATGACACCGGTTGTTGGACATCAATAAAAATCGAACAGTTCTCAAATACGTCATAACTCAATTTCATGATGTGCACCATATCTTATTAAAGAAGGTTTTCAGCAACATAAATTCAGTTGTTTTCTTCTCCCACGTAACTATTGCATGACTGATGGATTATGGCACATATAGCCTACTATTAGCCTACACTCTTAAAAATAAAGGTGCTTCGAAGCGATGCCATAGAAGAACCATTTTTGGGTCCACAAAGTACCATTCAGTCAGTCAGTTCTTTAAAGAACCATCTCTTTCTTACCTTTTTATAATCTGAAGAACCTTCTTTCAACACAAAGGAGCTTTTGTGAAACAGAAAGGTTCTTCAGATGTTAAAGGTTCTTTATGGAACCATTTAGAAAAAAAACATTATTCTATGGCATCCAAAAGCACCTTTATTTTTAAGAGCGTATTATATTTTTGGGAGACATCCAATGGTCATTGTACTTGTATGGATACGATCTACAGTATGCAAAAAGTCTTTAATTCAGACATGAGACCTGAGAAAATGACAATTTTCCTTTTTTTTTGGTGAACTATCCCTTTAAAGATTTGACAGAAAGATAGACATTCGCATTCATTTTTTATTGTAACTAATAATAATAATAAAAAGACAAATCTTTTATTTGCCCTAATAAAGATAAGGGTGGTGCAGGTGAACAACAGACCTATCAAAAACAACGACATTCGTATCATGTAAAATACATTTGATTAGCAATTTTTTACAAATGTAATCATTTCGACATGTTCTACCTAATTTTGGCATTTAGAAGTCTTAACTCGTAAGTGTAGGCTTACCTTGTCTGAATTTACCTGTGTGTGAAGGTCTGTTCTCACCTGTATAGCGTTCCACAACAGTTTCTTCTTCACAGACATAACATTTTCCTCTATCTTTTGCTCTCAGTCCGCCGAACGGAACTGTTGTTGTTGTTGTTTATTTCTTTACTGAATTTCTGAAGTCTCATTTAAAGTCAGTAATGCAGATGAAGGTGTCCCGTGTGTTTGAGTCAGGTCAGAGTCTCCTCCGCCGACTGCGCGAGCGCCTCCCTCACGACGGACGCGAGCACGCACGCGCACAGGCATTTATTCCTACTAAGTCAAATAAGGCATAATAAAACCATTCTCTGCTGTTTTTAATATTAGTATTCTGACGGCAAACTGCATGTGGCACTCATTTGCACTACAGATATTTTGTTAAAACTCTTTTTGTTCTTTTTTAGTAATGAGATCAATTTTATCTAAAAAAAAAAAAAAATCTATTATATATTTTTTTCAGATCAAATATTTTTCTAACAATATTCTATTCTGTTACATTCTATATTCAGCACAATAACACCAGGACACCAGCATTAAGTTAGTTCTGTCATTATCAGGCTACTAAAATGAACAAATGACTCTTTATTTGATTGTGACCTTTAGTTAGCAACACATTCACATAAACGCTTTATGCAGACTGTTCAGAAGGCTTCAGGTGCGATCATCACTAGTAACCTCATTTGATACTTTTCAAAGGCCGCAGTTACACCCATTGTCTTCTCATCTGAATAATTAACAGGACATCCACCAGCTTTTAAGCTGGTTAAACCACACATTTGCTGTAAAAGACAGAACGGGGACCATCTGTTTGAGCTCCAGCAGGAACAAAAGCACACTGATGTGTTAATATTAGTATTCTGACGGCAAACTGCATGTGGCACTCATTTGCACTACAGATATTTTGTTAAAACTCTTTTTGTTCTTTTTTAGTAATGAGATCAATTTTATCTAAAAAAAAAAAAAAATCTATTATATATTTTTTTCAGATCAAATATTTTTCTAACAATATTCTATTCTGTTACATTCTATATTCAGCACAATAACACCAGGACACCAGCATTAACAGTTAGTTCTGTCATTATCAGGCTACTAAAATGAACAAATTACTCTTTATTTGATTGTGACCTTTAGTTAGCAACACATTCACATAAACACTTTATGCAGACTGTTCAGAAGGCTTCAGGTGCGATCATCACTAGTAACCTCATTTGATACTTTTCAAAGGCCGCAGTTATACCCATTGTCTTCTCATCTGAATAATTAACAGGACATCCACCAGCTTTTAAGCTGGTTAAACCACACATTTGCTGTAAAAGACAGAACGGGGACCATCTGTTTGAGCTCCAGCAGGAACAAAAGCACACTGATGTGTTTGGTCTACGATAAACACACATCAATCCTCATCTGGTTCATGTCCATGTATTCACACCTGTGAGACAAGAGACACGTCTCAACCTGATCCCCTGAAGGGTAGATGGTGTAAACCCATTTTAAATATTTAAACAGGATGGGTGGCATCCAAATCCATTAGTAAATACTGAGTCTCCAAACACAGACATAGACTAAACATGATACAGGAAAGAAAAATAAATCACAAAGGGGTGCAAAATAGCATCCAAAACTGTTAAAAAATAAACTCAAAACGTCAGTGGATGTTGTCCTGTCACCTCGAGAGAAAATCACATGAAAGCTAAAAGTTATTTTATTTTTTAATCATTTTATAATTTATCATTATTGTTCTCATTTATTATTACAATTATAGTTTTAAAAATAAATGATGAATAAACAAAATTACATTATAACAAAAATAAATACATTTATGCATGCCGTTTTTTTAAATAACGGTAAATCTAATCTTTAAAAACAAAATCAAATCTAAAATACTACAAAGAAATGACATTTTTGTCATAACAAGCCACCAATTTTGACCCTATCATGAACAATATGTCATCTAGGATTTGTAACATATGGGAACAGTGGGCTTATCTCTTCTCAATATAACTTTGACTTTCAGAATGATGACCTTTGCTCAAAAACACAGCAGTGATAAAGGTGGATTACCATATTAGTATCTCTGCAGTTCCTAGAACACTAAATCATTTAGTACACATAATAAACATTAACTCACATGAATTAAGAAGATTTCCAGGTCCACGTCAGGTCATTGAGTCACCTGCGCTGCCACTGCTCACCATTTATCTAGTTATTAATTTAGTTACTTAGTGACTACATAAAAGCGCCATTAACCCTGTGAAGTGATTTAAAGCACAGCAAATAAATCTTGAAACAAGGACTGAAAACTGGTAGGGCGTTAGCAAAGCAAGATAATTAGTTCGATTCAAATAGGGGAAAAAAAAAAATCAGGTAGTCTGCCAAAATGTGTAAAAATTTATTTTTGGGTTTCTCTCATAATTACATAGTTAAAGCATAAAAGCACAAGTGTTCACTTAAAGGAATAGTTCACCCAAAAATGAAAATTTGCTGAAAATGTCCTCACCTTCAGGCTACCCGAGATGTAGATGAGTTTGTTTCTTCATCAGAACAGATTTGGAAAAATGTAGCATTACATCACTTGCAGTGAATGGGTGCCGTCAGAATGAGAGCCCAAACAGCTGATAAAAACATCACAATAAAAGCTGCACGTTTGTAAGAAACAAAGGAATCCATAATATTGCTTTCTTCAGTGAAAAAGTCGTCTCTTCGGAATCAGGAGCGAAATATGCACAAGACTCTCATTCTGACGGCACCCATTCACTGCAGAGGATCCATTGGTGAGCAAGTGATGCTATGCTACATTCCACCAAATCTGTTCCCATGAAGAAATAAACTCATCTACATCTTGGATGGCCTGAGGGTGAGTAGATTTACAGCAAATTTTCATTTTTGGGTGAACTATTCCTTTAATACTCAAACGTTAGTACTTCAGGAATATAAATAAACTATGAACTATAAACTATAAAACTAAGGCTGATGATACACGGGGCAACTTTTTGAGCAATTTTGTCAGGCAACTTTTTTCGAGCAACGTTGCTTGGGCACTTTCCCATTGAGAATGGGTAACAAATTTCTATTTGGATAATTTAGATCAGTCGTGGGCTCTTTGTCTCTCCTGGTTGCCCGTTGATGGCAACATTTCCCAAAGTTGCCCAGCAAAATTGCTCAAAAAGTTGCCCAGTGTTTCATCAGCCTAATACAGAACCTGAAATCCTGTATGAGGAAATAATCATGAATTTAAAAAAGTAATAGACTCACAGATATCCAAGTTTGAGGTTTGCCAGTGATTATTTATGATGAATATAACTTTATGACAATACAGCATATAAAACAAGCACATTCCCCTCACTCTCTCTCTCTCTCTCTCTCACACACACCTATGAAGAGGCAGATGAGCTCTAGCTGCGGTGCACCATGCTGTCGATGCTCTCCTGAAGTTCTGCCATCTTCTTCAGCACCAGATTCACCTTCTGCTCATCAAACTCCAAACACACAAACTCAGAGCTCTAAAGTACAGAGAGAAAGAAAGGGGGCCATTTACATGCAGTACGAGCAGTGAACCTGAACTGACCCAAATGCACTTTAAACAACACATCAGTGCTCAGTGTCAATGGGTAATTTCAGTAATGCTGCTGACACACCTGTTACAGAGTCAACCTGCATCAACACAGCGGTGTAAGATTCACAATACGGGAAACAAAGTAGCTCCCACTCAAAGAAAAATGACATCAAAAATCCTCAGAATTCTGAACTTGTTTTTTAGAATCAGTAAATAGAATGTTTTTTAAACCGTTTGAATGACAATAAAGAACTAGATTTGCATTTCCTGAAGGGTCTCCTGGAATTCTTGATTCTGATTGGTCGTTCAGCATTCTGTGAACAAATGTTTCCATGGTGATGCTAAACTGCATAATTAATCATTGTCTGAACAGTTTTCCTACTTAGTTTCCTATCTCTCTTCACTCTTTCATCTCACAAAATTGTGAATCAATATTTTATGTCCAAGTGGAATAATGCACATTCAGCCTTCAACTCTCGCCTGGATGCGGATCACCCTCATGATTTATTTTGTGATAATGACCAGCTGACTACGCTAGTTACCGTAATTACAGAGCAGCAAAAGAACCGTGTCAAAGCGTTTTTTGTAAAATGATCCAGAAAGGCAGAAGAACAGGACTCAGATGACATCAGCAGCCGAAGCAGGTTTTTATGACATCATCGGGATACCCGAAGTGGCTCCTACGCTGTGTTTCCTTCCAACACAAATACAGCCTAAACCCTAAACTAACCTACAACATAAACACTATTTGCTGACTTGCACTGGTGTCTCCTTCAGGAAAGACAAATTTGGGTAACCCAATATAAGAAATCTCTTATGCTGCTCACCAAGGCTAATCAAAAATACAGTAAAAACAGTAATATTATGAAATATTATTACAATTTAAAATAACTGTTTTCTATTGTAATGTATTGTAAAATGTAAATTTAAAATAACTGTTTTCTATTGTAATATATTGTAAAATGTAATGTGATCAAAGCTGAATTTACAGCATCATTACTACAGTCTTCAGTGTCACATGATCCTTCAGAAATCAGTCTAATATGCTGGTTTTGAGATCAAGAAACATTTCTGATTATTATTACAGTTGTGCTGCTTCATAGTTTTGTGGAAACTGTGATACATTTTGTTCAGGATTCTTCGGTGGATATAAAGTTCAAAAGAACAGCATTTATTTGAAATAGAAATATTTTGTAACATTATAAATACCTTTATTGTCCATTTAGATCTATTTAACATATCCTTGCTAGGGTTGCAAAGGGGTGGAAAATTTCCGGAAACTTTCCAAAAATCCCTGGAATATTCTAAAAAATCTGGGAAAGTTTGCAAAATTTCTGAAATGTTTCTGAAATTTACTGGAAATTTTCCACCTTTTTGCAACCCTAATCCTTGCTGAATAAAAGTATTAATTTATTTGACAAAAATTTTACTGAATTACAGGGGAAAAAATTAATAATACATTATTGTTAATTGTTAATTTTTTTCATAATACACTGACTAATGTTAATTCATAGAACTTGTATTATTAGTTGCATTCATTGTTAGTTTATGATTTCCAGTGCATCAACTAATGTTAAAAAATTAAACCTTATTATGAATTGTAACCAGTTACTGGTTGAAAATAGAGAAAAAGTGATCAATTAAATATCAGTAACTGGGCTGAATTTCACTAGGTAACGAACTAGAAGGACTCACATATACATAGTAAGTAGACTAGTAAACTATGCTAGTGCTACATCCACACAGATTATGACAAGTGCATTTAATAACAGGCGTGACTCTCAGAGCGTCCTGTTTAGCTGCTGCATGAATGAATCAACTGATGTCAAGTTCCTTTTGTGTGCTCACAGTAGCCATATCGCATCACCTGTAACCATAGCGACAGTGACTCCAGTAAATATAATAACATTGGAAAGGCTTATCACAATTGACACAACGATATTCAATAAACGAGCCCAATTAAGCTGCAAATTAATCTGTGAAATTGAATTAACTGACAGCGGCTGCAAGCACAGAGCGCAGAACTGAAAACAGCAGCATGACCTGAACTCTTCAGAAAAGGTGTGACAGACAACTAGACAACAACAGGTCCGCCCTGAAAATGTAATGCTTTTTCACTCCTATTAATAATTAAACTATAAGTAACCATATTTGTGCTCTAATGCATGACTGCGGATGTGTAAAAATAGTCTCTTCCCATCCAACACAAACACGGCACTATCTGAAATGATTTGTGGTTTTATCCAGCAGTAATTGATCCCGTGACCCTGAATGAAGAATCAATCTCCTCATTTCAGCTTCATTGCACCCGTGATGAGGGATTTTTCTGCTCTCCTGCTGCTCTGAAGACAATTGAACACTCCACAGTCCTCTATTCTCCGAGCGTGAATCATACAGCGTATAATGCATCTCTCTGCACATGGCACGAATGATACAAAACAATCGGAGCACTCACACTGACAAACAGCGCTAACTGCATTTACAAAAATACAATCACCCAAAAAAGAAGGCCGCGTGAATCATACAGCGTATAATGCATCTCTCTGCACATGGCACGAATGATACAAAACAATCGGAGCACTCACACTGACAAACAGCGCTAACTGTGCATTTACAAAAATACAATCACCCAAAAAAGAAGGCTGTCATTCTCGTCTTGACTCACTGAGGTTAAACAATAACATTCAGCAGATATTACGGATAAGCATCTCAAATCTGCAAACATAAAAACCCTAAATGAACTTCACAGGAAAGAGCTGATGATAAGCAGAAAGACGTAATGGCAGAATAATAACGGCTAATGTCACTAATGGGTCTCTGTTTCCTGTAAACCAGACCTCTTGATATCACAGGAGCAAAAGACATGGATTAGAGCTCAAAACCTCATGCACATACTGAAATCAATATATTTCAAGAACATACTGATCCTGCTGAAAAAAACAATAGACACCATTACAAAATTTGTCTGCGCCGTGAGGAACGCTTCCAGCTGCGCCTGATCCATGTCTGCTGAAGCGATGGACTGACGGAGACACAGAAACATGAGGTCAAGGGTGGAGGGAGACAGCACAAACTCTACAAACTCTACACTGTTGCAGGGTTATTATAGTCAACTACTACCAAAACCATTAACAACTTCCAATACTTAAAATAAAATAAACTTGAACTGAAATAATATAACTTTAAAAAAAATGCATTTATTTGTTTTAGCTAATGCCAAGACAATATTTCTCATTTTTATTTAGTTTAACTTTATGCATTAAAATAACTCAAATTAAAACTGAAATAAAATGATTAAAAATGATATAATATTTTTATAAAATAAAAAATTACTAAAACTAATATTACAATGAAAATTACAATGAAAACAGAAAATATAATATATAAATAAAAAATAATTTAAAATATTAATAAAATATTCTGTAAATAAAAATGACAAAAACACACAAATAAAAAAAAAACTAAAATTACAATAAAAGCAAAGAAAACATAAAAAAATAACATAAAAAATAACAATTCTAAATATTACTAAAATAGCATTTCGATACTAAAATAACACTGTACTGTTGTACTTTGATAAAAGAGGATAAAAAATACTTTTTTTGCAAAGATGTTTTTGAATAATAAAAAAACATCTCTTAATTTTATGGTGAAAGTCATGATTTTACTTGGTAAATTCCACATACATAAAAGCAAAAGGAGCAATTTATATTGCACAGCCCTAATTGTGTTCATGGCTATTGATTAAATGTATTGATAATAAACAAATGTATACATATAATTCTATTTGCTGAAGCTAATTGGAAAGTAAATCTTGAAAATGGCATCTTATATTTTTTTATTTTTTTTATTTTGTAAACCCCTTGTATTCGTATGGTGTTGTCTATTTTGATTTTATTTTGTTGTGTATTTAGCATTTAATAAAAAAGCATACGATATAAAATAAAATATAGGTTACAAATGATACATTTTATAATGATAGACATTCTGCAAAGTAGTAAACGACTACATTGTTATCACCCGAATGAACCTTCATGATATCGACATTTAGTGATACGCTGCTCTCTAGTGGCAGACAGAGAACAGTGCAGTCCACGCCTGCATTTAGTTTGGTAAACAGTGAAATCTCGCTATGAAATGTTTGCGTGTGTGTTTAACTGCAGAAATAGCGCTGATCGTCTCTGCTGTCAGAAACTGCTGTAGAGGAGAAAGCACCTTCAGAAGCGACCTCATCTTGTCATGCAGCGCGCGGAACTCGTCCTGCGTCATCTCCGCGTACAGCTCATTCTTCAGAAACTCCTCCGTGATTTCGGTATTACCGTAATATAGTCTCTGCGTGATTCCGTTCAACAAGGCGCTCACACATCTCTGGCTGTCCGCGTCAGCCATGCTGGATGTTGACAGGGGTCATGTGATCTGCGTCACGCGCAGCACGTCTTCCTTTACTGCGCGTTCACTTCCGGTATTTTCCAATTTCCAATATCTCCCTATATATATATTTTTTTTTTCTTTTCTTTTTTCTTTCATTTTATAAATTATTATTATTATTATTATTATTGTCACTATTAGTTGTAGTAGTAGTATTCGGAAATTATAGCTAATAATAAAAGAACCCCTTGACAGCTCGTTTTTAACAGAACGAATTAAAAACTATTATAACAAGTAGTATTATATGTAAAAGTAGTTATATGTAACAGTTCACTTAACGAAAACCTTTGCATGTTACAAGAAAGGATTTGAACACGGTTGTTATGCATTGCTGTTTTTGATAGTAATTAATTGACACCATTAACAAACAGCTTCCTAAACAAGCAAAACAACCCCAGAAATAATATTTGTTCCATAAAAGGCACTATAATATGTACTTATTTTAATTTATATGTTTTGCATTGTTATATTTAGCGTGTATTGACATGATTAGTAAAATTATAATGTCTTAAAAATATTTTCAACTTACATCTTCTTCAAATAAGAGGGGTTCACTTGAGGTTTAGGTGGCCTGTTACAAAATAAGTCATGGTTTGGTTACACTTTATTTTAAGGTGTACCTGTTCCAGTGTATACATTATACATTTAAGTACCGAGTAATAATTACTAATTATTAAAAACATGTACTTACTATATGGTTAGGGTTAGGGTTAGAATTAGGGTTTGGCTTAGGGTTACTTGCATGTAATTATGCATAATTAATTGTTATTATAACAATAAGTACATGTAACGTGTAACAAGGACACCTTAAAATAAAGTATTACCAAAATTTCCTTACAGATTCAGATTTCTTTAATTTTCTAATCATTTATTGAGTTTCAAACACATTTGTCTGTTAATATACTGAATAAAATTCTTTTTTGTTTTGAATTTATATTTCAAATACACTTAATATTTTAAATAAGTAACACAGTGTTATGTAAATGAGTGTTTGTTTGATTGAGCTGTTTGTTTGCTGATGTGTACTTACCTGCTGTTCATCAGGGTCTTCAGGCAAGCAATGTCATTTAAAAGGTTAAAAGATCAAATTTAATTGTTTTCTTTTATTCATAGTTCTAAAGAGTGACAACATTCAGGTATAACTCTTATTTGTGATGTTTGACATGTTTCCCTGCAAACTTACCAGTGCATTTCATGTTGCAAATATTGAGAGATGGCACCTTGCCAGAATCACAGGCCCACTCATCACTGAGCTGAAACACTCCATACAGGCGCTTTTGCTCCTTCTCCCTAAAGATGGGATCGTTGGGTTTGTTTAAAAAAGAAACGTGACGCCGGCTTCTGTTGGTGTTTGAAGCATTCCTTGGGGAGGGTCTTGAAGGAGAGATTGTGAAGGGTCCTGAGGTGGAGTTTGTGGCAGGTCTTGTGGTGGTGCTTGTGGTAGATCCTGAGGTGGAGCCTCTAGTGGGCTGTGGTGGGGGTTGAAGTGGGGCTTGTGGTGGAGTCTGTGGTGGGGGTTGAAGTGGAGTCTGTGGTGGGGGTTGAAGTGGAGCTTGTGGTAGATCCTGAGGTGGAACCTCTAGTGGGACATATGGTAGGGCTTGTGGCAGGTCTTGCGGTGGGTCTTGTGGTGGAGGTTGCAGTGGAGCTTGTGGTGGAGTCTGTGGTAGGAGTTGAAGTGGAGCTTGTGGTGGAGTCTGTGGTGGGGGTTGAAGTGGAGCTTGTGGTGGAGTCTGTGGTGAGGGCTGAAGTGGAGCTTGTGGTGGAGTCTGTGGTAGGGGTTGTAGTGGAGCTTGTGGTGGAGTCTGTGGTGATGGTTGAAGTGGAGCTCTGTGGTAGAGCTTGAGGTGGAGTCTGTGGTGGTGCTTGTGGTAGATCCTGAGGTGGAGCCTCTAGTGAGTCAGTCTTATGGTTGGGGCTTGTGGCAGGTCTTGCGGTGGGTCTTGTGGTGAAGTCTGTGGTGGGGGTTGAAGTGGAGCTTGTGGTAGAGCTTGAGGTGGAGTCTTTGGTGGAGCCTGTGGTGGGTCTTGTGGTGGAGCCTGTGGTGGGTCTTGTGGTGGAGCCTGTGGTTGGTCTTGTGGTGGAGCCTATTGTTGGTCTTGTGGTGGAGCCTATTGTTGGTCTTGTGGTGGAGCCTGTGGTTTGTCTTGTGGTGGAATCTCTGGTTGGTCTTGTGGTGGAGCCTGTGGTTTGTCTTGTGGTGGAATCTCTGGTTGGTCTTGTGGTGGAGCCTGTGGTTTGTCTTGTGGTGGAGCCTGTGGTGGGTCTTGTGGAGGAATCTGTGGTTGGTCTTGTGGTGGAGCTTGTGGTGGGTCTTGTGGTGGGACTTGATGTAGGCTTTGAGGTGGTGCTTGAGGTGGAGCTTGTGGCCCTGGAAGTGAAACTTGATGTAGGCCTTAAGGTGGAGGTGGATGACTGAGGTGGGGTGTCATCGGGATTGTCCTCTTCACCGGAATTGTCCTCTTCATGGGAGGCGCTGATGGTTTTAAATGAAGTTGAGGTTGAAGTCAGAGCCTTTGGCCTTGCAGACAACTGCCTCAAAAAGAAAAAAAAAGCATATGGATGAAGGTAATGAACCTCATAGCTGCATACCATGTGACATGGAAATATAGCCTCCTGAACAATCTGAAAGAAAAGTAACTCTATTACACACGTCTAGCGACAAGATCTTTTTGCGCTCAATTCTTCTCCCAAGACCTTAATGACCTGAAACCGTGCAGCCTCCAGCTTGGCCTTCAGCTCACATTTACTCATAAACCGTCCCTCAGTCACACTGGATCCCAGCAGAACCAGAAGCAACATCTTCATTGAGAGAATTTTCTTCATCTCTCTCTGCTCTGAAATCTGGAGATTAAACACACAGGAAAGTGAATGCAGAGATAAATATGATTATTTTGTTAGGCTTCACACTTTTTTGCTTAAGTACATTTATATTTAAGTCGGTATGTAACTTGCAAAAAATCTTATATTTACTGAGAATTCACCTTGTTAATATGACTGTATAGCAAGTGGAATGATGAAATAAAAAATAGTTTATTATTTTAGCTCTAAAATGCAAAAAATACCTGCATATAGATTATGAAATAGATAAGACTATCAATTTATCAGACATTTATCATTTCGTGACAACCCTGCAATCATACAGAGACAAGAACCATATTAAAATGAGTCTTACCATTCTGTTGTTGGAGATACAGATGAATGAGTCTTCAAATGTTCCTCAGTCTTCTTCTGTACTGTGACCCATCAGACTTATATATGTTTGAATCGCCTCCACCTGCAGCTGCACCTGCACTTTTGGTTCATTCCACCATTATTGATATTTCTTAGAATTTTCGTTTAACATGTTCCAAAAGGATTGGCTCTCCCTGCTGAGTTTTGGCTCCCCAAGTTTCTTCTTCATCCACCCAAACTAACCGTTTTAGGGAGTTTTAAGGCACTATATTTTGTAAAACTGCTTTGGAACAAACAGTTCAGGCAGGTTTTGTTACGTGAGCCATGGAATTCTGTTTGACTGTAGATCATGAGGTTTGGTTGAGCAAAAACACGCACATACATAGTAATATTTCCAAATAAAAGAGGCAGGAAATTGACCTTGTACTTTTTTTTTTTTGCTCAAGACACTGTCAATTTAATAGCTCTTTCTACAAAACTGACAACAGTTTTGACAGATTCAAACAACACAGTACACATTAATGACATTTATGAAACCTCCTGGGACCCAGCAGTGCACTGCTGCCCCATTTAGGTGGCATCTTAAACTGACGTAATAGACTTTTTAGACAAAAAAAAAAAAGATGAATATTAATATTGTAAACGTTTTGGTAATTATCATCTGTATTGACTAATTTTCAAATATTTTTTTGTCAATAAATATCTTAAGTTAGTAGAGTATGATTTTTCTTGATGACACAAGATGTATGTTTTCTGATATTTCTGTTAAATATTACAGAAATTCCTCTAAAACAAAATGTTAAAAAATGCTTTTTAACACTATAGTGACAAAACAAACTTATTATTACACTAATTAACAGTAGTGAATAGAAATAAAGGTGTGGTAGTTGGGATGGTAGTGGAAATATCATCAAATTAATTTGGAATTGATAAAGGCTGGACGAGGTTTTGCAACTTCAAGACGTCAAGTCAAATGTACAATTAAAGCACTGATTCAAAACAAAAGATCCGCAAAGCTCTACCATCACTAGTAAAACATCCACATAATAAAAAGATATGGAAAAATATCTTAAACCTTACAATGATTTTTGAGTGATTCGATTTTAAAGGCAGAGTAAGCGATTTCTGGTAGCCAATGTTGATCCTTGAGTTCTCTCCAGCACTGGAAAGCTGATCCAATATTTTACACGGGTCCTACTTCTTGCCTTATCTTTCCGCAGACGTTTTCCTCTTTTGTTTTTTTATCCGCCATCTCTATCTTTCTGTCGCTCGGCTCGGCTAATGTCCGTCCCATGCACTGAAAGCTCTCTCCTCCACATCACGAGACGAGTAGACACGCCCCTTATTGCTGATTGGCTACAAGTTTGTTTTGCTATTCGGCCCGAATCAGTTTTCTAAAGTGTTTTTGAAAAATCACATACCCTGCCTTTAACAACCTAATCACTGATCACCTAATCAATAGTTAAATGTATATAATCTAATTGGAAATCATTTTGTAATGTGATCTTAGCAACACTTGAGTAAAAAGCCAGGTCTTCTAACACATCAGTGCATGGTGTGAATTCATCGTTGTCACATATCTGTTTAGCCTGTACAGCATGTTCAATTGCAGGCCAAAGTCCAGCATAAAAGTCTTTAGATTTATAACTTAAATATGGGCTTTTGGTGTCATCCGCTTACGGTTATTTTAGGTACACAAAACTTTAGGTTATCTTGCTGTTCTAGTTATTTACTCATTAGCAACTAATCAGTCAGAAGTATTACACATTCACAGAAAAAAAGCTTACTTCCAAAATAAGATGGATAGACCCAGATGACTGAAACAATTGCATGAGTAGAAATGGTGGAACAAGATCAAGTAAAGGCCAATAACGAAGTCTAGGTTCAAAATGTCAGATATCCTCAAATAAACTTGTAACATGATTTTTTTTTTTTGGCTACATCCCGTCCTATATGCGGTCAATCCTGAATAATTGGCCTCTATGAAGCACCTTTGATACCAGCTTACACATCTTTATTTGAGGCCATAACTGTTTATGGCATACAATTAATAAACAGCTCAGAGACCAATATTACACAACAAACAGTCATTCTCTTCACTGCCAGGCTTCTTAAAACAAGCTGCACTGACTGTGAATTGTGGAAAAATGGTCTTATTCTCTATTTTAATTATTTTAGCCTGTCTGCATGTCCACAGTGTAAGGAGTGCTATCGGTAAGTCAAATTTATCCACAACCAGCTGAAGTAACAATATTAAATTCAAACATTTGGATGTGATGCCTAACCTTTTAGTAGTTCCATTTAATTCTATCGATTGTCTATTGTTCAAAAGCATGTGTTTTAAAGGACAAAGCTCTTCTAGTGAATTAATATGCCTGTCAGAATTTAATAGGAAACAATTTTGCTTACTAATATAAGTGGAGTGATTTAAGATTAATTTACATGAGTTTGGACACTGGAGTTTTCACCAATTAATATTCGTTGTTAAATCAATACACTGTATGATTTAGTGTATTTTGTGCTACTGAGTTCAGGACTTTAGCTGTTTGTTAAATTCTTAAACCAATGACTTGTTACTGTTTAAGGTTCCTCGCAGATAAACTGTGCAACTGGAACTAATATTAATGTAGGGAGCGTCCTGGAGGGATATGAAGGTGAGATATGCCCACATGGACTTAACTGAATACTATTAGTCCACGCTACTATTTGCAAGTAAAAAACAATAAGAACAACACTGATATTATCTAGTATTTATGTTTTAAATTGTGTGTTAGAATATGCATTTAAATGTGTATTTAACCTGGCCTAAGGTGATGTAGAGATTCTCACTAATATCGGACCTAATGATCGTCTGCTTCTGGAGGCATATCTCTTTCCTATTGGTTTGGAATTTCTGGAGCTGATTTATTCTGATGGAGATTCGACCGCTACTGTACGGACCAAAAAACCACTGGACGCTGATGAACTAAAGGAGGTTTGTTCCAGCCTCACTGATTCATTGAGTTGGTAGAGTCTCAGCTAGTCTCTACTGACTTAACTAAGCTTTCTTTACCAATTCTGACATAGCTGATAATATTGCATTTGATTTTTTTTTTTCACTCTTTGTATGTTTTATTTCTTCTAGCATGGAGAGAAATTATATTATTCAGTCACCTGCTCAGGAGGGGTATGTTTATTTAAACAATAACATCATAAAATAATTAAAGCAAAGCATTATAGAAATAAAGATGAAGTCTTCATTGTTCATTTCAGCTAAAAAACATCCGGAAGGTAGATGTTCTGGACGTCAATGACAACCCTCCGATCTTCCAGAGCAAGTCATACAGCGCCACAGTGTCAGAGGTGTGTGTAATGTCACGTCTCTATACAGCTGTAGTGTGTTTGGTCACTGAGAGATCTCACATCTCTTAGTAAACCCTGTCTTTTGCTCCAGACGACAACTGTGGGTTCAGATGTGCTCAGGGTGAGGGCTGACGATGCAGATGTCTCTCCAGAAAACAACCGAATTACGTATTCAATACTGGTGGGTCGTGAACAATTCTCATGAATTTGATATATACAATAGGCTGCATTGTGCAACAGCTATGTAAGCTCAGCTTGTGTCCATAAACTTATCCATATCCTCATTTTAATTGATCACTTCCACTCTATTAACAGCATCCAGTACCAGATGACTTTGAAGTGAGACAGGACGGTAACATCAGGTTGAAACAACGTCTGAACTACAACAATGTTCAACAGTACATCTTCACTGTGGAAGCTAGAGTAAAGACAAACTTTCTCACATCCTACCAGTCCTGCATCCACATCATGATCAGTAAATTTCAAAATATTGCTCGTCTATCATTCAAAGCATAGTTCTGTCATCATATACTCACAAAAAGAGATGTTTAGCAGAATGTCCAAGCTGCTTTTTCCATACAGTAAAAGTGTGAGGATCAGGAAAGGCATTGGTGATGACAGGATTATGATGTTTGGACTGAGAACAATCATTTTAAGGTTGATAGTAATTCAACACTACATAGTAAAAATGTTGGGTTGCACATATTGGATCACTATGTTGGGTTATTTAAAAAAATATATTATTTTTTAATTACTGGGTATTTTTTTTAGATTGTTGGGTTATTTTAGTAGCAATCCAGCAAGTTAAAATAAAGTATGGCTTCTGCAGTGACAGTTAAAATTTATACAGTCCAGTCAAGAGACAGCAGCTTAATTATGAAAGGTAAAGTTTATTATTTATATATCTCTTATTAATTATTACTTACTGAATGTTAAATATATCCCAAAAACTGTATCTTTGTTCAAATTCAAATTCCTTGACAGTTTTATTGAATAATGTAATGAGATGTAAATGAATACACTTTCCCAGTTAGCTTCCTAAAATTAATAACTATAAACCATTAGCATATAGATAGATAGATATTGATATGTGTATTTGTTTTTGAATTTTCTCTCTCTTGTATTTTATAAAAATCTGTATATTTTATATTTTAAAAAATGTAAAAAAAATAAAAATAAATCATATTGTTATTATATCAAATAAAGATTTGGTATTTGAAAACAAAGTACAAAATCAATTTTAATGTCATAAAAATTATAATAATAGTAAATTCAGTGGTTGGGTAACTTTCAACCCAACTGACTGAGATGAGATTGTTTCATTAGGTTAAAATAAACCACAGTTAGCAATAGTTGGGTTACTAGTGGGGTTATTTTTAAGTGAGTTTGATTTCTTGTAGGATAAAGGAGGACTCAGTGACACAACAACTGTTACAATAACGGTAGAAGATTTTGACAACCTAAACCCTTATTTTGATCACAGTCTCTATGAAGCATCCATTGAGGAAAATCAGGTAAACGACATTTCAGAACGATTAAAGCTTTAAAACCATGTCTGACCAAACAAATAAAACCCTTTATGTCTTTTTTTGTCTGTGCCCAGGCAGGACAATTGTCAGACTTCACTCCTGAGGAAATAAAAGCTCAAGATGGCGACACGGGCATCAACGAGCCTGTCGTTTACAGCATAACAACAGGTGCCATTAACAGAATTACAATGCACATACATGACCTGCGCCCTAATCTAATCAATAAACAATGTTTCTTAAACTGATCTAAATAATGAAATGTACTGATCTGAGTTACATTTCTGATAATAACAAAGCACATATATCCATATTTCCGTTCCAGTCTTTCCAAATGAATATCAGAGCAACTTTGAAATCGACCGAAACAGTGGAGTCATCTCCGTGACAACAGCACTAGACAGAGAGGAAATTGAGCAGATAATGGTTTACATACAGGTATAACATGTTTCTAAAGACATTTATGAAATCCATTAGGCTTATGGTATGAATCTGAAGAGATTTCAGTATTTTGATTCTTCATGTTTTCTCATCAATGTTTCCTTGTAAAAACAGGCAGCTCAGCAGGATGATGCCAGTAAGACGGCAAACGCTGTGGTGTCTGTCACCATTGAAGACGTGAATGACAACCCGCCAAAATTTGAGCAGGATGAGTACACAGTGTCTATTCTGGAAAATTCACCACAGGACCAGTTTGTGCTT